ACACACACACACACTCCATAAGTGGGACCTTTGAATTATATCTCCATCCAGGTCATCATTTTGAAATTCATTGATGAGACTTTGAAATAATAATAGATGAGAATGTCAGTTAGATGATAATTTTATTTACAATCAAGTTACTCCCATTCAAAACAAAGCAAGAAAAATCGATCAGTCAAATAAATAAATGAAAACTGTTTGATATCAATGATAGATAGGTTTTGACGTCAATGCAAGGAGGTTTATACAGTAAGGAGCTGTGGCGTCGGTTGCTTAGTGGTTAGGCTCTCGGACTCGCAACCGTAAGGTCGTGGGTTCGAATCCCGTCAAGGGCCCGACGTTGTGTCCTTGGGAAAGGCACTTTACACGAATTGTCCTCACTTCACCCAGGTGGGAATGGGTACCCGGCTATAGACAGCGAAAGATCTTGTCAGTTTGTTAGTGTTTGAGCGCTTAATCGGCTGCTCGCACTGTATGCTTCCCGGGAAGCTGAGAATGTTTCAGAGTGTTCTATGGTCTGCTGGGGTAATAATATAGTGTAAAGCGCATAGAGCCTGCTGCTAAGCAGGGATATGCGCTGTACAAATGCTATCTATTATTATTATTATTATTATTAAGGGAGGCTGCTCTGCGGGCGGCAACGCACGCCTGATAGGAGCCCTCTCTCGCGCTGCCCGACTCTCGCACTGAAATTTAGTCTATAGGAAAGAAGGTTTTTCTGATGTCCTTGAGATTAGGCAAGTCAGTTGACTATTTTATATTTTAAAATCCTTTTATCTCATTACATGTACTATAACTGATGTCTAAATGCAGATGTCATGGCGGCTCCATATTTAAAAAAAAAGAATTCAGTAGGCCTACCTGCTTTACAACAACGGTGAATAACTTCTCTGTTAAAGAAAGATATACGAAGGAAGGTAGGGAGGAGGGGGTGGAAAGAATTTGAGTCTCATTTAATAGTACTCAACCCGGTTTAATCTATCATAGTAGAAACTAGTCTCCACCTGAGATCCCATTGCATGTTTATGAACACGGTTCACTTAGGATTCCGTTGTTTAGAAAAAAAAAAGAAACAACCCCCCCCCCCAAAAAAAAAACAAAAACAACAACAAAAAACAACAACCACAACAACAACAAAAAACAAACAAACACAACCAACAAACAAACAACAAAAACAAACAAACAAACAAACAAAAAACCCAACAAATATTACTACATAAAAGTCACCCCTAAAATCCCACTCTGGAGTCTGAAGTTTCCGCATTTTAGATCGTCATGTTTCACTGAACGAAAAATCTTTCATAGATCATCCACAGTCATACATACGATCACATGATCTCCGCTAACAATTTCTCGATGAGTTTTACAATGTTTGCTTCAGGCGCAGGGGCCTTACAATGAATTTCGGATCTCACCCAGGTGTGAACTTTTCAACGCCTTTGATTTCTCTGATCTGAACATCGAACTGCAGCAAAGGCCACGTCAGACGGGATCACATCTAACTGTGATTTAATCGGTGCTTTTGTTTCCCTGACCATGTATCAGGTGTGCATTCGGATTAGCTGGACAGACTTTGCGCCTGTACTGTGGGACTGTCGGATCGTCTTTGCGTAATGTTGAGCCAGCCTTTAATTTTTCGAATTTTAGTTGGTGCGTTTATAACACAACGGTGAGTTACTACCTGAATATGAGCGGTGATGCGGTCAGAGATGAAGGAAAGCAATAAATATTTGACAGGTAAAGGGGAGGAACAACAAGTGAGATGACGCTTTGTTATTAATAATAGGTTAAGGAACCCAACGACACACGTTAAACATTAAAACTGAGTGTTTCACAACTTGATTTAGTCAACATGGGGATCAAAACATAAAGTTCATAGACAGTCCTTATCAACATGGGGATCTCTCTCTCTCTCTCTCTCTCTCTCTCTCACACACACACACACACACACACACACACACACACACACACACGTTTACCAATTAAACTTAGAAATAAGTCTATGAAAAGAGAAATCAACCTGCTTACACAAAGAGTAACCATGCTTTGGGCAACTTCGGCCTTTCTGGGAAGACTTTGAAACTTTAGGCACTAGACCTAGGTCAGTTTGGGTTTGAGTTTTGAGCTCAGGGTTTAAACTCATTCACCCAGACTTCATGAATTCAGAACTTTCTTTCACTTTCAGACTAGTCCAACCTGCCTTAAAACGGACACCTGTAAATGAAAACATGTCTTAAGGAATCTCTCCGCTCCCCTCTTGATATGTGAGGAAGCGTGGTAAAATCAGGCTTTCGTCAAAATAACTAAATCTAGAGAAACAGGCAATTTTCCAGCAGTTTGGACATTTTTGTACAACACATTTCCATTCCATGTAAATTTTACTGACAAAAATAGATTAAAGGCACATGCCATTTTTCAGTTTTCAAACACTCTTTAGCTGTTGGAGTTACCAACTTTGGAGACCATTTTCTCGCTAATTTCACCACTGAAACCAGGTGACCTCACTTCCTTCAATTACAAATATATCTTTCTATTCATGATAAATCTATATTTATTTCAAGGGAAGCAAGGCAAATAAATCAGCTTTCAGATGATACTTTTATAACTTCACAAGCCAAAAAATTGACGATCGCCTGATTCCATCGTGTAGAGACACATAATATTCCTCTTTAATTTACCTCTATAAAATGGAAACCTGTCCAACTCGGAAACGGAGAGAAAAATCCGTTCCATTCCGGGCGTTTTACCTGTCTAAGACGGAAAATGCTTTGCCTGACCAGCCTTGATTTGAAACAAAACTCGCAAGTTTGGTTCTGTTGCCTTTACACTTAACGCCATAGTTAAGAGTGCAATTTGGGGGTAGAAGTTACCCCATCTATGTGAGCCCAGATCGATGCAGATGGTCAGGGTAGTGTGGGTGTGAAAATCTCACGAGCACCACAGTGAAAGTGCTCCAGGAGCGAGCCACAACAGAAACTTTCCTGTGTAGCCAGAAGGCAGAGGTGTGAAATTAGTCTGATCAATGCCTGCTGTCCTGATCATACAGAAAGCTGAGAAAACAATTCCTGGAATCTTTGTTACACACAGCAGTGAGGGCAGCACTGGTCGACTGTGCTTGTTACACCGATGGGTGGGGCTAAGGGTGGAAGTAAACAAACGTTTCTGTTTTTAATAGGTCAAACAGTGGTCCTATGAAATGCAAGCGCATTGTGTCATTATCAGAGAGTAAGCATTGAGAAGTGTGAGGTTTTGATCACCGAAGTGTATACAGACCCGGTAACCGGGAACAAAGTCACGAAGTATACAGACCCGGTAGGGGAACTCTTTTGTGATTTCGGGAAGTTTCAGCGCTCAGACCCGGTAGAGAGAGAGAGAGA